CTAAGGTCCCTATCCAACTTTTAGTAATAGATTAGGTCCACAATCTGTTCTTTTGTAGTCTAAGGTCCCTCACCCCATTCCCACTCCTAAACTCACCCATCTCACACCACTCTCACCACCACCACCACCGCCAGAATCTCGCTACTCTCTTCCACTTCTCCAAATCCCCAAACTCAACCTTCTTTCTTTCTTCCCCATTATTATAAACACTCTTCCTCTCTCTCTCTCTCTCCCCTACAACCAAATGAACAAAAGCTTCAAGATCTTCGTCTACCCTATCCCCAAATCCTAACTCTGAATCATCAGCCCTAGACTTAGACCCAAAAAAACCCTCATCTCTCTCCTTGGCGGTTCGCTCTGGTGGACCGGTAGGAAGCAACATCAGATCTACGGATGGTGAAACGTTTGGCAGGGGTAGGGTTGTTGAGCGCAACTACAACATCCCAAAGGAGTCCACCCTCCACCTTGTGCTCGCCTCCGCAGCGACACAAAGAAGAGCAAGAAGAAGACCTACACCAAGCCCAAGAATATCAACTACTCCACCACTTCTACATTCATCCTCTTTCTGATTGCTTGAGATTTTGTCAACCACTGCTTCCATGTATATAACTTTCACTTCTCTCTTCTAGTTAATGCCGTGGGCTCTAGCAATTGCCTGTTCCTCATTTTTTGGGTTTGGATCGGGAGCATATATGATGACTGTGTCACCAATGGAGATCCTCCACGCACCTGACCTCAAAGCAGGCTCCGCAGATCTGCCCTCTCTCAAACACTGTGCTGCTCAGCCCCGCTGTCGACATTCCGTACCCGTCCTTCACCAGGTTGCCGTACCTACATGCTCCTCCCACTGCGTCATGGGGGTCCACCGCCGCGTAGTAGGTGGCATGTGCGGATCTCTACTCTGTAGAAGTAAAACTAGTAGTAGTAGCACTACTACTACCACCCCACCAGGATGATGATGATGATGATGATGATGATGATGATGATGAAGGAGATGGGTCGGATGATGAGGAATAGTGTGCGGTTACTAGTAATAATCCTGATGCTAGAGTTAATAGGAGGAGTCTCAGATTTTGTATCAGATTAACAGACATTTTCAAAGCCAGAGAGAGAGAGAGAGTGGTAGTAGTGGGCAAGGTCTCAAAGCATTTAATCCATCTTTAGTCTGTCTTTTTACTTGAAGTTGGAATTTTTTTTTACTAAGCAAGAAGATGAAGCAGTCCGTATCGGGGCTATTAAAGTCCGCAATAGCTGATTCATGGTCTTCTAAGCTAGTTGTCCCATCAATTCATCTGTAAACAAGTCGCCGCCACTGCAGATATTCCTCCAATATATCTAGAAGTTTTGTCATTGTACTAAAGGGCAATACTTGATGCCTCTTCTGTGAAGCTTTATGAGGACTCTATCAAGAACCCACAATTCCCCACATGATCTAACAAGGAAATCCTTGAAGAAGGTCAAGCTTGTTGTCTTGTTGTTCTACAAAGTTGATAACTCCGGCAAGGTTCAGAGGCCGAGTATGTAAGCAAATCAGATTGAATTTTCTCCGAAGGATTTGAATTTTCTCTGGTTTCATAGAGAAAAGATCCTATACAAAAACAAACAATTTTGTTCAGATAAATTTCATTTTTCTCTAGAGAGAAAGGAAATTTCTCTGGATTGGAGAGGAAGAATTTCTATAGTTTGGGTTGGAAATGGAGAATTTCTCTGGGTTAAGTGAATTTCTCTAGATTGGAGATGAGAATTTCTCTGGTTTTCAGTGAATTTCTCTATGCAGTCCAGAATTTCTCTGGAAATTTTTTTTGAGAAGTTGCCTTTCTTTCTCACCTTTGAGAAGCAAGGAAGTGAGTTGAGGTAGGGGAATTCCTATGTTCAAAAAAAAAAGAGCAGAGAAATTTAGAAAGTTTAGGGAAGTCCGGAGAATTTTCTCTGACTTGAATTTTCTCTGACTTGGAAGACCAATTTTCTCTGACTTGAATTTTCTCTGGACCAATTTTCTCTGATTTGAATTTTCTCTGGACCAATTTTCTCTGACTTGAATTTTCTCTGGACCAATTTTCTCTGGATCAATTTTCTCTGGATTGATGTTGAGGGACCTTAGACATCATGAAAATATTTGATGTCCTTTATAATGTAAAATCATAATATCAGGGACCTTAAAAAAAATACCCCTATATTTATATAATAGTAGTGGTAGATATTATTATTTGGTAAGATATTAATTTTTTTTAGTATGTTTATATATATTGTATATATAATTCTATAATCAAAACTTTAATTATAACTTTAGTCTTATACGCAAATATAAATTTATAATTTCTTTGGTTCGTTAAGGCTCGTGAACAAGTTCGAGCTTGAGAAAACTTAAACCTACTCGGCTTAAACTCGGCTCGTTAAATTTTTGTTGATTTTGTTAAAATCTTAATAAACAAGTCCGAACATACTAAAGTTCAGGTCGTTTGCAATCCTAACCATATGCACTTCTAATTATTATTATTATTATTTTCATAGTTATGACCAATTTTCTTCTTTTTTTGTTACATCTTATGTAGTGTTTGGTTATGATTTTTTTTTTAATTACGACTCAAAAAATATAAAATTATACTATTTAAATATGATAAATATGCTATTATTAGGAAAATTTACCCATAAGTCCTAGTTTCTGAAAAGTTGAACCATTTAGTCCTAAAAGTTTTCTTATGCTCCATTTAGTCCCATTTGCACATCAATCTAATGTTCGAAATATTAATCTGATGTTTGGAATCTAATGTTCGAAACATTAATCTGATGTTCGAAATCTAATATTCGAAACATTAATCTGATATTTGAAACATTGTAATGGGACCTTTTAGTCTATAAGAAAACTTTTAGGACTAAACAGTGTATGAGTTGTTAATTTGAGATTTATTGGTGCATCCCCCTACTATTATATTGAATTGATGTGTTAAATAGAAAGATGCAATTGATATAAATTAAATAATTTGTCTCCTTTGGCAACTTAAAATTTTAATAAAAATTAAAAAATTATTATAAATTATCACCTAAAAAATAAAAAAATTATTAAAGTAACTTATTTTTAAACCACAATAACGTCAGAAACATAATGGTGAAAGTAGATGCAAAGATGGTTGTGGACCTCGCGCTAACAGAAGACATAAATCACAAACTTTAATTATAACTTTAGTCTTATACGCAAATATAAATTTATAATTTCTTTGGTTCGTTAAGGTTCGTGAACAAGTTCGAGCTTGAGAAAACTTAAACCTACTCGGCTTAAACTCGGCTCGTTAAATTTTTGTTGATTTCGTTAAAATCTTAATAAACAAGTCCGAACATACTAAAGTTCAGGTCGTTTGCAATCCTAACCATATGCACTTCTAACCATATGCACTTCTAATCATTATTATTATTATTTTTATAGTTATGACAAATTTTCTTCTTTTTTGTTACATCTTATGTAGTGTTTGGTTATGATTTTTTTTTAATTACGACTCAAAAAATATAAAATTATACTATTTAAATATGATAAATATGCTATTATTATATTGAATTGATGTGTTAAATAGAAAGATGCAATTGATATAAATTAAATAATTTGTCTCCTTTGGCAACTTAAAATTTTAATAAAAATTAAAAAATTATTATAAATTATCACCTAAAAAATAAAAAAACTATTAAAGTAACTTATTTTTAAAGCACAATAACGTCAGAAACATAATGGTGAAAGTAGATGCAAAGATGGTTGTGGACCTCGCGCTAACAGAAGACATAAATCACAAGTTGAGTAACATTATTCATGATTATAGATATTTCCTAACCACTATTATTGAGAGGCCAACAAATGTAACTAGAAAACTTGAATTTAGGATTTCATTATTTACTAATGTCAAAGGAAAACTTATTTAGGTTTTGTTTAATTAAGGGTTCGTTTGGAATGTGTGTTAATTTTTTAACTTTTTGATTATTTTAGTTTAGGATTAAAAACTCTCGTTTAAGATAGATTTTTTAATTTTTTGACTTTTGTAAGAGAAAAATGAAATAATTATGAGTTGGAGGTCGCATTTTGTTCTATTTGACTAAAATAACGTATTTTGTCCTATATAACTATTTAAATCCCAATCTTTATCCCAAACGGGACCTAAAGAGATTGAGGTTAAATTAGTTACTAAAAAATAAAATAGAGTAAAAAATTAATAAAATAAAATATTACATCTAAATTATAATCATTTCATTTTTCTATTACAAAAATTAAAAAAATTAAAAAAACCTATCTAAATGAATTTTTTAATCCCATACTAAAATTTTTTCCACCAAACAATAATTAGCCTTCGTTTGGCAACTTGGGTTGGGTTGGGTTGGGTTGGGTTTGGAGCTATTTTAATTACAAAAAAATAAAATAAATTTTTTAATCTAATAAGACAAAATATCACCTCCAATCCATAATCATTATATTATAAAAATTAAAAAAATCAAAAAATTCACCTCAAACAAAACTTTTTAACCTCAAGTTAAAATATTCAAAAAAAAACCAACTCACTTCTCAAATCAACCCTTAATAATCTACAATACCTTTTAAATAAAAAAAAAATAAAAAAAAAATAAAAGGGAAATAACAGTGCAATGATAGTTAGAAAAGTTAATTATTAAAATATGATAAATATTGTAAAAATAATGCTTGGGACCCCCTTTTGGGGTTACCCCTCACCCCTTTTGCCACGTGGTGGGTGGTGATTGGAGGAGCAGGAAAAAAAAGAAAAAGAAAAAGAAAAAGAAAATGTAACCAATGAGAGAGAGGGTGTCAAAAGGGGTGGGAGGAAAAGGGGATGAATCATTGTTGATATTATAAACTTTAGTAATTAAAATTATAATTTTTTTTATTAAAATGTAATTATTTTGTCTGACACACCCTCACTGTAATTTTCCTTAAAATGAATAGGGACATAGATAAAATAAGTGGTAATGCTTTAGTGTATTTGTGTAATTTAAGTATCTTTCTTTCTTTGTCTTCCCTATCCTAGATTGAACTGAACTGAAGTCTCAGACAGAGAGAGAGAGAGAGAGAGAGATTATCTGAATCGAGCAAGCGTGGTTTCGAAGCGAATCGAGCTCTATTTGTGGTGATTGTTTGGATTTGAATAGAGAGGTTTTGGGTTTTTTTCTTCTTTTTTCATGGTTGCAGAGTAATAATGGAGGCTCAGTACATACGAAGGTACCACAAGCACGAACCCAAAGAGAATCAGTGCACTTCCGAATTCGTCAAGCACATCAAAGCCCCCGTTGATCTCGTATCTCTCTTTCTCTCTCTCTATATATATATATATACATATACATATACATATACATATACATATATGTATGCATTGATAGATTGAGTTTTGGTTGATTAGGTTTGAATTGTTGTGATTTGATTGTGATTTTTATAGGCAATCCGTTTGATTGGTTTTTTTTTTTTTTTTTTTTTTCCGGTGTTTTGATGGAGATCTGAGAGATTAAGTTCGATTGGGATTCGTTTTGTTTCGTTTCTGATTATGTATGTTTGAATTTGAGTGTGAGAGATAGGTTTGGTGAAATTAGAGGCATGTATTGTGTTGAATTTGATTGTAATAGTTCGTTTCTAGAAGAAGTTTTTTGTTTTCTAATGCGTATTGTATGCATTTTATTGAAATTTGAGTTGGGGTATTTGTTTTTCTATGTTTGGTTGTCTAGAAAATTGCAGGGAAAGTAACGAAGTGAAAATTTTGAGATTTTTTTAAATGGAAACAGAACAAAACTGAATTCAAATTGTTATTTCTGTCCTAGAAACATGTTTTTCTGCATAACCAAACATGTTTTTGAGATGAAAATGGGCACGAAACAGAATTCAAAAGAAATCTCACTTGTATTTCTGTCTCACATACTTTGCTTTCCTACCCATCCAAACATTTAATGAGGAAACACAATCATCTCTTTTCTTTTCTCACTCAGATGAGAAACCGCAATCATTTCATTTAATTTCTTTTCATTTCTCTTGTCACCTGTTATACCAAACAGACAATGTTTATCAAGTGGTTTAATTTTGATTCTTTTTGGTGGCTTTCTCACTAACTTTTGTTTTCATAGTTGCTGCACTTTTTTCTCTCTGATGAACTATGTTCTTTTGTTAGGTATGGTCATTGGTGAGGCGATTTGATCAGCCACAGAGATATAAACCATTTGTCAGCAGATGTGTCATGCAAGGTGACCTTAATATTGGGAGTCTCAGACAGGTTAATGTGAAGTCAGGGCTTCCAGCGACAACAAGCACTGAAAGATTGGAATTGCTTAATGATGAGGAACACATCCTTGGCATCAGAATTATTGGTGGTGATCACAGGCTGAAGGTATATATATTTTCTCTTTCTTCTTTCTTGCTTAATTTTTTTGCCGCTTTCTTTCTCCTCTTGAGATTAAAATAATAGTAGTTTATGCTACACTATAATCATCTTTCTCTTCTTTTGTTTTTATTTTTATTTTTACTAAGCCCCTAAACTCAATTTTGTTCAAATAAGCGCTCCAATTGGTTCAATTTAGCCCTTATGTTACATTTCGTCTACTTTTGACAATTAAGAATTTTATAGTATTGACAAAAGGAAAAACCTATTATCGACCTTAGATAATTGTGTTGGTGAAGGAAGATTTTCTGGTTCTATGGTTTTTGTTTTTGTTTTTGTGTTCATATTGGGGAAATGATTTTCGGGTTAATTTTTCCAATTTACCCTTTAGTTGGGCCGCTTATAATGTACTTAACGGTAAAAAATAGATGGAATGTAACATAAGGGCTTGGTTTAGTTGAACGAAAATTTAGTCAAGGGACAATGAACAAAAATACTAAGAGCTTGTTTGGGAAATGTTACTGCAACAATATTTTTTTTTAAAAAAAAAAAAATCTTTTTTGCGTCACATTATTTTTTATTTTTCTACTTTTCTGCACGTCTTTTCGTAAAAAGTCAAAAAATATACTTATTTGACACTTTCCAAATAACCCTTAATTAGTGGGTTATTTTCCATGAATTGATATTTGTGCTTGGATTAGCTATTATGTGTTAGGAATTCTTCATGGATTAATCACCTTTCAGACCTATTGTAAGCTTAAAGTTGTGTATTTTACTAGTTGCAAGATAAGTTTTTGTTGGTATTGTTCCCAGTGCAATTCAAATTATGCTGTTTTTACTTGTCTGATAAAGGGGTTTGGTTTTTTCTTTGTCATAGCATTTTGAACCCTGCAGAAATTTTCTGCACTTCTTCTTTTCTTTGCAACTTTGAAATTATTTGTAGTATTTTTTTTTTTGGTGAATAAATTATTTGTAGTTGATATCTCAAGATCGAAAATGATAAGGAGTTGTTCCATCACATCATTTACATGATCAGGGACACTAATCAATTTTCTTGGGAGATTTTCTAACAATTCTGACTTCTGACATATTTGGCTTAAGGGATTATGTTTGTTTGGTTGAGTTTTCAGAACTTGTTTTCTGATTTTTTTTTTTAAAAAATAATAAACTATAAACTTGTTTGACAAAAATAAGTACTAACAAGATAGTTTTGACTGTAAAAATTTTAGTTTTGCCCAAAAAAGAGAAAATCATATGAAAATAGTGGGAAGCAACTACTTCTGTCAACTTGAATGTATTGTTCTTCTGTTTTTGTTTTGAAGACTACTTTGGACAGAAATCTTTGACTTAGCACCACCACATGAGCAGGTTGCTTGCACTGAAGTATGATGCCACTCTTTCAACTGTTTGACATTTTTTATTTTACGGTAAATTGATGTGAAAGAAAAGTGAAATTCAAATATGAAAGGAAAGTGAAATTCAAATATGAAGTTGTTTCTTGCTTACTTAAAAGTTGCTGCAACTTTTCCAATAAGTTCTCTCAGATAAATATTAGTCAAAAATGGTATTACATGTTCCCTTGGCAAATTTGGATGAGAACATTTTCTTGTGCATGCCATTGGTAGATCTACAGTAATCATCTATTTGGCTTAGACTATTTGGTTGGAAGACCAAATAAAACTAGTTCTGATTGACTTTTTCTCCACTATCATTGTCTGCATCATTGTCATAATCACTATCTATTTCTTTATTTTGTACCAAATTCCACCAATCACACGTTACGCCCAAAACATTGAAACCTTGGTTTGTTTGTTTGTTTTGTTATATAATTTTGCAGAACTACTCTTCAATCATCACTGTCCATCCCGAGATGATTGATGGGAGACCAGGGACGCTTGTGATTGAGTCATTTGTGGTGGATGTGCCTGAAGGGAACACTACAGACGAGACATGCTACTTTGTCAAGGCCCTGCTCAACTGCAATCTCAAATCTTTGGCTGATGTTTCAGAGAGAATGGCCATGCAGGATCGGGCCAGACTCGTCAATCAAATCTGAGTGGTTTGGTTAAAGGAATTTTGAAACAAATTCAAAGGACTGTTGGTAAGCTGTTGCGCAAGACTTTCAGTTACCTTTGTAGACATTTGTTGGAGCAGTTCTTCCACTTGTTCAGAAGTTTTGTATACAATCCTGCTCGTGGCTCGGTCATTTTCCTTATCTGTTTGATTCACTCTTGTTATTTCCTCTGAAGTGACTCTGGGCTTTGCCTTATCGTAGTATCCGGACAATTTTATGTATGAGATCAGTTCTTTCTTCCACTGTTATATGTTCCTCTGTTTTGAACATGGTGGTATGTAAATTATTGTGGTGTTTATCTGTAAATATATGTTGGAAATGTGTTCTGTATAAACGTGGTTTTCATGTTGGTGAATGTGTTTCTTTGGTTGTTAGTCTTGTGTGTACTGTGCAACTCATCCAAGCATCTGTAGCAAATAATTGTTGTTGTTAACCAAGTAGGCCTAGCCTAGTTGGTTACCATGCCTTTCTTATGACTTAATTTCAAGGAGATCATGGGTTCAATTTCTTTTAGGGAGGGAGTTGAATTAAGGGAATACAAGCACTTAGGTGTTTTGCTATGAGCGGAGAGATTTTCTCTCATAAGTGTTAATCTAACAATCTAACAATTAATATTTATCGACAAAATAATAATAATAATAATTATAATAATAATAATAATAATAATAATAATAATAATAATTGTTGTTGTTGTTGTTGTTGTTTTTGTTTTTGTTTATCTATGCTGCTTGGAAAGGCATTTTGTATTTGTATAAGGTGGCTAGTTCATTAAAATAGATTCTATTTAAAAAGAAAAAAAAATTGGATTGGTTGATGCCTGTTAAGGCCACTAGTTGTAGTTAGGATTGTGTAAATTATCGTTTGATCCGTTAAAATCGCACAGATTCATATTAATTTGTATCGCTCTATTTGCTAATCGTGGATTGAACTTTAAAATTTATTATTCGTCTTTCAAACTGTTTCGCTCTATTATAATTAATACATATATATATTTTTTAAACTCTAAGAAAATATCAAATGAAAAATGAGTATGAGAAAGATTTAAAATGTGGAATTTATTACAAATTAATAGTTATATATATGAAACATATTATGTAAAATTAATTTGTGTTATATATATAAAAAATATTATGTAAATTAGTGTTATATATTATGTAAATGTTCGATAATTGGTTAGAATATTTTTCAATTTGTCAATGTGTTCAAAATTGCCCAAACATCGATTTGCCAATCCGTTAATCCGCCAATCTACTATTTAATTTATAATTTTACTTTCAAACCGTTCAAACCGTATCACGCACACCCTAACTGCAGCAAAGCCCTAACCTATTTCATTAGACTTATCTTATCATTTTAGCACAAATAAGCGGTGTCTGAGAGTTGACTTTCATTAGTAATTTTTTTATATTTTAGTTTTTATAATAGGTTAAAAAGTTACGTGTCTCAAAATATTTTTTTTTAAGTTGTATGAAAAAATGTAAATGATTAGTTCATATCATTTGTTTGTTTAGTAATTTCTTTTGACTTTTTTTATAGATTTTTTTTATAATTTTTTTTTCCTTTTTTTTTTTAAGTCAAAGAGTCATGCTGCCAAATGACCCTTAAGTTTCACTCAATCATTATCCAATTAATTTCTACACACTCTACTTTAAATTAATTGATCCTTCTCTTTCATCAATTTAGATGAGTACTTTAAATTAATTGATCCTCTTTCACCAATTTAAATGAGTATCTAATTTCAGTTTTTTTTTGAAAATGGATGGATTGTGATTGTTGTGGTAATTTAATTTTTAATATTTTTGAGTTTCTATAATTTATAAAATTTTCTATAATTTTAAATGTTTTTGTTGTGAGTTGATTGTTTTTTTTTAGCATAAAATCCTACGTGTTGATAAATAACTTTGTCAAACATTAAATCAAATTTAACATGACATTAAATTTTGTTGCTTTTTTAAAATGAATTTGATTCATCATTGAAAGAAAATTTTTGTAAGATAAAGTGTAATTATATTTTAACTTTTGACAAACCTTTGAGAAATTGATTTATGCTTGTAAAATGTTTGAAAATCTTATAAATTTTTCATAATTTAATTCATAATAATATAATTTGATAAGTATTAATTTTTAATTAGTTAAATACTTAAAGATTCGAAACTCACAACATTTGCTATATTATTATAAATATATTTGTGAGTATAAATTGTAATTCTTTAACATTATTGTAATAAAAAATTAAAAATAAAACAGGAGCAAAAAAATCCCTTACTAATGATGCATGGCTGAACGAGTAGTGTTTATTCAGTAATCTCGAAATATAAATATGTGAGATTTTATAATATTATGATTAATAGAAAAAATAATTAAATAAAATATTATATTAAATAATTAAAAAATTTCACCTCCACTCATAACTGTCAAACATTCATGGAGGCAATCTTGCACCCCTCACCAACACCAACACCAACACCAACACCAACAAGCGACCCAGAACCCATTCCACCATATCCACCGCTCCTTCTCTTCCATCGTCTTCTTCTTCAGGTTTCCATTGTTTAAATGGCTATCTCGAGCTCAATTCCTTGAATTCTGTCAAAATAATGCATACCCAGATGACAAAAATGGTCAAAGACAAGAATTCAGATACCAATTTTCAATCTTTGATCACATCTTACTTGAATTTTGGTGATTTTCGTTCGGCTGCGACGGTTTTCTTTGTGGGTTTTTCACAAAATTATCTTCGTTGGAATGTTTTTGTAGAGGAATTCAGGAGTTTTGGGGGGTATCCGTTTGAAATTCTTGAGGTTTTTGTTGAGTTGCATAACAAAAGAGTGAGTTTTGACTGTAGAATTCTCACTGCTGTTTTCAAAATTTGTGCAAATTTAATGGATATATGGTTGGGTATGGAAGTTCATGGATGTTTGATTAAGAGGGGCTTTGAAATGGATGTCTATTCGAAGTGTGCATGGATGAACTTTTATGGAAGGTGTTGGGGCACAGATTATGCAAGTCAGATGTTTGATGAAATGCCTGATCAAGAAGTTCTATTGTGGAATGAGGTTGTTTTAGTGAATTTGAGGAGTGAGAGATGGGTAGAGGCTCTACAATTATTCCGAGACATGCAATTTTCATTTGTGAAAGTGAATAGCTTTACGCTTGCTAAAGTTCTGCAAGCCTGTGCAAAATTGGAAGCTATTGTTGAAGGAAAGCAGATTCATGGGTATGTCATTTGATTCGCATTGGAATCAAATGTATTTGTGTGTAATTCACTGATTAGCATGTGAGAAACAATAATCTTGAACTTGCTAGGGCAGTTTTCGATTCAATGGAAAACCGTAACTTATCTTCATGGAACATGATCATCTCTTGTTATACTACACTTGGTAATCTAAATGATGCATGGAAGCTTTTACATGACATGGAGGGTTGTGATATGAAACCGGACATTGTAACCTGGAATTCTCTTTTGTCAGGCCATTTCCTTTGTGGGTTATACCGAGAAGTCTTGATTCTTTTGCGGAGAATGCAAGTGGCTGGTTTCAAACCTAACTCGAGCTCTATCACCAGTGTTCTTGAAGCAATTAGTGAATTGAGTTTCTTGAATCTTGGGAAGGAAATACATAGCTATGTGATAAGAAATGGGCCTGATTATGATGTATATGTTGGAACTTCACTGCTAGACATGTATGTGAAGAATAATAATCTAACCTATGCTCAAGCTGTATTCAATGGTATGAAGAATAGAAACGTTTTCGCTTGGAATTCGTTAATTTCAGGATATTCCTTCAAGGGCCAATTTAAAGATGCCGTAAAATTGTTGAACCAGATGGACAATGAAAGAATTAAACCAGATTTAGTGACATATAATGGTTTGGTTTCTGGGTATTCGATGTGGGGTCATAATAAGGAAGCTCTGGCCATGATTCATCAGATTAAAGTTTCAGGATTGATTCCTAATGTTGTCACATGGACCGCTCTAATATCGGGTTGTGCACAGAAAGGAAACTATAAGGATGCACTAGAGTTTTCAATCCAAATGCAAGGAGAAGGTATCAGGCCTAACTCGGCCACCATATCTAGCTTGCTTCAAGCCTGTGCTGGTCTGTCTTCGCTACAGAATGGGAAAGAAATACACTGCGTGGGAATTAGAAATAGCTTCACGGAAGATGTATTTGTAACTACAGCTCTTATCGACATGTACAGCAAATGTGGCAGTCTAAATACTGCCCATGAGGTTTTTCGAACCATTCAACGCAAAACTTTGGCTTCTTGGAATTGCATGATCATGGGTTTTGCCATTTACAGCCGAGGAAAAGAGGCAATTTCAATTTTTGATGAAATGCGTGCAGCAGGTGTTCAGCCTGATGCTATTACCTTCACCGCTCTCCTCTCTGGTTGCAAGCATTCAGGTCTAATCAATGAAGGATGGAAGTATTTCGACTTCATGAAGGCAGATTACAATATAATCCCCACAATTGAGCATTACTCGTGCATGGTTGATCTTCTTGGAAGGGCAGCGTATCTTGATGAAGCTTGGGATTTCATTGAAACGATGCCAATGTTGCCTGAGGCTACAGTTTGGTGTGCTCTTCTTGGTTCATGTCAAATCTGTGAAAATTTAGAGCTTGCAGAGAGAGCAGCAAAGAGACTTTTCAAATTTGAACCACACAATCCTGCTAATTATGTTCTGATGATGAACTCGTACGCGACTTTGAACAGATGGGAAGATACGGACTGTGTTAGAGAGTTGATGATGGATGTTACAGCAGGGGCGAAAATTGGGCATGCATGGAGCTGGATACAAATCAATCAGATGGTTCACATGTTCTATACCAGAGGAAAAGCTCACCCGGATGAAGGAGAGATATACTTCGAGTTATATCAACTAATTTCCCAAATGAAAAGATTGGGATATGTCCCTGACATCAAATGTGTGTACCAGAACATTGATCACGTGGAAAAGGAGAAGGTGTTGCTTACCCACACTGAGAAATTGACCAGTACGTATGGACTAATTAAGATGAGAAAGAGAGCACCTATTCAGGTGATTAAGAACACGAGAGTCTGTTCTGACTGTCATACTGTAGCAAAATATATTTCTTTGATAAGATGCCGCAAAATCCTCCTCAGAGATGGTGTGCGGTTTCACCATTTCGGAGAAGGGAAGTGTTCCTGCAATGACTTCTGGTAATAGGAAGGTGTTTTGAGTGCTGTTTTTTTTTTTTTTTTAAAGCATTGTGTGAAGTGTTGTTTTGCTGCATAGGAAGGATTGATACCCCACGAAAGAGGGGATTGTTGTAAAGTTTACAGCTTGTGATAGGACTTGTAGGACTTAGTTTTGACAATCCTGTTTGACAAACACTTTATATATGTTATAATTAGGTCAATTGTAAATAGTCTTTGTTATCTTGTGAATCCAATCCAATTTGGCTTAAAAACTAGATCTAAGTGAAAGAATAGTGACCACCACTCGAGCTGTTTGGTGCTCCAACAGTGATGCACAACTTGTTGGATCTTAGAGTTTGTCAACTTGTTGGATCTTAGAGTTTGTCGACACAAGACGGCTCGAGCGGTCTGAGTCGGCCAAGTTGATTATAATTGAGCGATCGCTATCCAATTTATTCCCTATATAGTCTGCTTGGTATTATTTTTAGTTTTTTCTTTTTCTTTTTATAGTGCATATACTGGAGTTGAGCCAAATAGTAAATTGCTTAAACTTAACAAGTTTTAAATGTGTTCAGACATCTCAAATGAGTTTTAATCGAGTTGAACTTGGGCAATTTGATTTTTTATAATACATATAATTGAGTTGAACAAAGTAACATATTGTTCAAACTTCGCTCAAAAATTTAATTTTAAAATACTTTCAAACATGATTTATTTACGTAACAAGTTAATCATCAAGAAGTTGAATACAAGCCAAAAACACATAAAGCAAAAATTTTAAAAAATTGAACCATTTCTTAATATGTGTTTGTCATCTTGACGAAGGAGCATGCTAATCTTCTCTGTATCATTCCAATTTCACCATGTCTCTGATGAGCCAGTCTTAACAACTGACATAGTACTACATCAACATGAAGGTTAGTCAAAATAAATAAATAATATATGTATACATGTTTTCAGTTGTTCACTTTGCAACCTTTTTGACATGTATGTGGAATCAAGTTTGATCTCCAACCTTGTTTTTCTTGCACATTGGTCAGTGATCAACAAATTCAAACCAACACAAATGATAATAGAAGTTCCAAATCCACCAAGGAAGGAAATCTCAAAAACAAATTTGTTTGAAAATTAAGTTTCTTGATCAACAAAACTAGATAGACTATATATGTAACTTGCAAAACACAATTATTTTCATTTTCCCAATAGAACTTGACATTATTATTATTATTATAATGGTTTTAAATATTAGCTGATATGTACCTATCAAGCAAGAAATATTTTGTCTTTTGAATATTTGATGATACGGTTCGGTAAATTAATTGACATGAGAATTGCATGAGTATCAACCGGTTCCTAATACATATTGGTTTATAGCTGAGATACAGTTGGTTCAACTACTATTAAACTCTTTTTAACAACTGATGATTTTCAAAAGTTCACGAGTGCAATATCTCATTTCCGATATTGCTCGATACTCACAATATTGTTATACCGCAACAAATATTGATACATCTCTCAATATTGCTGTTGGCTTTTTGGCTTTCGAAGGTTATTTTTGTAATTATGAGCGTGCCAGTAAGGATCAATCAGTCCTTACAAAATTGTAATTGCCAACCAATTATTTAGACGATTGTGTTATGGTTCTTTCAGCCTCAATGAAGAAGACTTTTACTGGTGGCTTACTGGTAGCTTGATTTAGGAGAATTTAAGCATAAGAACAGTTAAATAAATTGAAGCATTTCATTAGTATGCAAAACTTACAATGATCTCAGCCTCGCAGAGATTTACAGCGGCAATATACTCGAAAACTACTCCTACAAATGAAGTGCAGTGCAGGAATTTAAAGTACAGAAATGTAAAGAACAGGAAATATAAAAACTGGAATATGTAAAGTAAGACTGGTTTTCTTAGATCTGAGCCCCCCCTTTCTCTGAGGTCCTTCCTGCTATTTCTACTCCCCAAAGATAATCATCGAACTGCACTTTAAACCGTCGAACTGCTCCTCTATAATCGCTGATCATGCTGCCTTATGAATAGTTCCATTACGCTTTCACTTGCAGTTAGGCTCCCCTCCTATATTTGAATTTGAATGTGAGTAACCGTTGAAACCGCGTTACTTTGCATCCCACTATTACTCAGATCTTATAACAACCAATTTTAACTGCCACATGTATGATCAGGATCGGAGACTTGACTGGTTTCCTATATTGCCCTTACCTTGCCACACGTCGAATTGTCACTGGCTTGTACAAAATATGAAGCCAACATTACCCCCCGCACTAATATACCCAAGACTTAGTGATATTAGTGGATCAGGGTCGTTTCCCCACGTCTTAGAACGTGCATGGGTTTTGTATCTACCCAGAAATGCAACTGTCACTCACCATCTATATTAAACTCTCGTTTAATCCTTTAAGCACTTCCACTGTCTTAGCATTCGAACAGACTGATACACTTCATGGCCGAATTAATTTTTTCCTCCAGTGATCGAGCAAACGAAGAGTCATATGTCGATGCTGTTCCTCCTCGAAAGAACGTCCATGCATTTATTAGCCACCTTTACCCACCTTTCTATATTCAAGTCATGGATGCCTTTGCAAATTACCAACCTTTAGACTACGAACATATTGCTCTTAATCCTTCGATTCAGAAAGTTGCAGGTATAGACATAAGAAATTCTTCCTCTAACTCATCCTTACAATTCGAACAAACTGCTCTCAAACCTTTGATTCGAAAAGTTACAAATATGGACTTAAAAAACTCTTCTTCACAAGTCTCTGTATGGGATAAAGCTGCAACTTCTTCCTCTTCTGAGGGTTCTGATTGGACAAGCCGGTCAACATCTGAGACTTGTGATTTGAAGGAGCGAATCAACCACCATTTTGTTGAGTTTACTGACCCTTTAGAGTTTCCTTTCTATGCTCGAAGTTCAGTGGTCTATCCCTATGTGCCCATTGACCATCGACGTAGTCTGGAGGAGAATCTGCTTGTAGCATGGTATACATCCTCCATGCCTACAAAGATAGTGCACGCTGCCCGCCGCCCAGAAGAAGCACAAGGGTATAACCCATCATTCTTAGCCCAGAAGGCGAAGATTTGTTCTTCTGACTGGCTTGATTATATTAATGCTTTTGTTCCTTCTGCTCCCGTGTCATCTCCGAAAATAGAAGCATCCACACCTTTTTCTTCGTCTCCCGAAATTGAAGTATGCATACCTTCTCCTCCACCAACTCTTTGCTGGACAGAGAGACTGAAGCTTGCCCTATCCATGAAAAACGTCTTCCCACCTTATAAACCTCTACCTTCTCCTACTCCAGCTGAGCAGAAACAAGCTCAACTTCTGCTTGCAGCTTTCTCTCACTTGCCTTTTAATGTTCTTGAGGACGAAGTCCCTCTCAAGAACTTTCGATGGGCTTGTGATATTCTGACTAGGGGCCATGTCCTTAATCCCCTTGTCCAGGCAGAACTTCATATGTTTCTGGACCAACTTCCATTGCTTCTCCACTGGCATCGAAATTCTGTGGCTACTACACAATCTTTAGACCAACTTTCGTCTCTTCGAATTCATGCTCAGTACGAAGCAGAGAACTTCATTGAAGAATTTGGTGATTTCAAGAATAAAGATTCTACGTATTGGGATGACTTAGACATTGACGAATTGGAACAAGAATTAAGAGAGGTGGCTTTCGAAATAAAGGCTGAAGAGCTCTACTACGAAGTGAGAACACATCAACTTATGCAGCCAATGCTAGAAGACTTAGAAGATAGAATAAGGAAAAAACAAAAGTTTATTGATCATTGTTGGACTAAATTTCATGATCTTGTTATTTATTCCATTCCTTATTTTTATGAGCTCGAGTTTATACCGAGATAGGGTCACCTGATGTAATCGCTTTGGCTTTAATATAAACAAAATTCTTCTTCATTTGGCATTGTTTGACCCTGCTTTCACTTGTGTTTTAAAAGTCAATTCAGAGCTTCGAATTGAACAATTTCATCCTTTGAATCTGGACTTATTTGTTTTAAATTAAACACTTAAAAGAGCCAATTATGAACTTTTCCAATTTGTGGAATAAAGTTGACAGTTTTGGCTGATTTTCAATTAGAAACAGTGCTTCGGATCTAGCAATCTTATACTAAAGTCTGTTTTGACCATAATCAACATCTAGTCATTGTCATTATTGCTTTTGATGTTTCAAACACCAAATCCCATCCTTAAAGAATCTCAGGTTTTGCCTCGAAGGACATTACCTTTGTTAAAAACCTAAAAAACAGGTCTTTAAACCCTTTGAAGTACAATAAACACCCGAGTATTCTTATATTTTGGGTATGGAAACCTGCTTCGAAGCCGGCTTCTCTATTTCGGAGCCGTTGTTTTTTGGCTTTTGGCGCTAAAACTTGGCTTCGAAGCCAAATATCTTACTTCGAAGCTAGCCTCAACATCTGGGCTTTGTTTTTCCCTCCAAAAGTATCAATATTGAAGGAAGCTTTTGTATTCGCACTTCTAATACTTAACAACTTACGCAATATATTTTCAGACACAAAGGCTTTAAAAACCCTTTTGTTTCGTGCTTTGAAACCACTTGCTCTTTTAACTCACAAACCCCTCTTTCTACCGATCTTCGGCTCCTCTCTACTTCCTTTCTCGGTTTCACTTTCAAGAAAAGCATACTGTCAATGGCTTCTCCTTTAGTATCGGTTGTAAAGCGTACGAGCCCATTTGTGGCCCTGAAGAGGATCATTGATGCAGAATGTGAGAAGTACAAAGCTGGGGAGAAAAACGCTATTGATGGACGCATCTTTGTCCCTCGTCACCATGTGCAGCAAGACTACGTGCTTGGGCCCATATTCAAAGAGATCCTTACTGAGCTCCCAGCCCTATATCCCTGTCTGGAAAACCAGTGTCTCCTTTACGAAGGTGGTCTTGACTGGAAGAATTGGAGAATAAATCGCCCCCACTGATGCTGGCCCACGGTGAGACCAGAGTGGCAAGAATGGTATGATCGGGTTGTTCCTGCTAGGACC